CCACACGTAAAAAAAAAAAGGTACCCTGACTTCAAACCTCCGGCCGCCGGGGCCGATAGGGGCGAGCTTGCTCTCCCCACCGAACCGGGTGGTCACCCTCCCGATCCCATTGCACGCCGGTGTTCCGGCAGGGATTGGGGGGAACCCGGAGAGGTGGTTGAGGAGGTGAGTCATTGCCTCCCCATCACCTTGTTGGCCCCGACTGCCATTGCACCCCGGTGTTCCGGCAGGCGGTCGGGGTATCAAGACGTGGAAGACTCCCAATCTCCCATTGCACGCCGGTGCTCCGGCAGGGAGGTGGGAGTCAGAGCTCCCCTGTCACCGGGCTGGACGTGGTCCTGTCCCGAGGGCAGGGGAGGGCCCGACCCTGGCTGCACAACCGAGCGTGGCTCGGGCAGCTGGGGAGACGGGAAGCCGTGGCCTCTCCGCGGTTGATTCGGACGTGCTCCGTCTCTTCCGGGGGGAGGGGCCGCCGGACCTCGACAACACACTGAGCGTGGCTCAGGTTGCCGGGTGGGCCGGAAGATAGACGGGGATCGGGGCCGCTCGGACGTTTCCGAGGCAGGGCCCGATCGCCTGAGAACCGCCGGGGCCGCTGGGACTTATTCCCAGGCAGGGCCCGGTGGTCCGAGGAGTTGGTCGGCAAGTCTGCCGGCCAACACCCGTCCTCCTATCGTGAACCTGTCAGTCCGTGTCTGGGGCCGACGTCTCGTTGCTGGGGCGTGCGGCCTGGCATGGGGGCGGCAGGGGATGGGCAGGAAGGCGGTTGTGTGCGTGCGTGTGTGTGTGGGACACGGTCGGCTGCCGATGGATATTTCCCTGAGACTAAGGGGGGAGTAGTAAACCCCCCGACCGGGGACGGACGGTGACGTTAGTACCTGACCTCTGCCGTGGACTACGTGGGTGCATAAGTCCAGAACCTTCTGGCAAAAACCACAGGAAGCGGCATGTTCAACGTGGGAGAACCGCTCCCGTCCGTCTGTCTGGAGCCTATCAGGGAGTTGAAGTCGGTATGCTGGGCGTGTGTATGGAGGGGCGGTTAGCCACCGTCCCCTCATACCCAAGCTAGGGGGGAACGAGCCTTAGCAAGCTCTAGCCCGGTGCCAGGATGAGCGGCCGATGAGGATACCAACCTGCCACGGGTCGGTACGCGTCCTTTCACTGGGTGAGCCTAAACCTTTTGCGTATAGTGGTGGACCTGGCCCTCTCCAGGAACCTTTTTATACAGAGTCACCAGACGGGATAGGGGTGGCTCCCCGAAAAGCCTCACCGTTTCCCGTCTCATAAATAGGGCAATACTTCACGGGGGGAAGATCCCCCACTGCGGCGGGGGTGCCATGATGGCCGAACCCTATGATCTATAATATATGCAATATGTCTCCACAAACAAAAAATACAAAGAAGAAGGGTTCAGGTGGAAACGAGAGGGACAAAAACCAGCGAACGGACCCCCCTTCGTCTGGTAGCCAAGGGCAACGAGGTGCAGACGCACCAACCGCGTCAACCGACGTGGAAATGGCAACCTGCTCGACAGCTAATTCAGGGAGAGTTAAAAAAGGAGCAGGGCCTGCGAGTCACAAGACATGTTTTGTTCAACTCGCCCAGTGGAAAATGCCTGAAGAGGACGTCGATGTCAACGTGACAGACACGGAATCCGAAACAGAGGAGAACACCGAACCAGTGGTGAACACGCAAAACGCACCGAGGGGCAGAGGGCGCCCACCGACGGTGGGAAAATATGTACTCGCCAAAGAAAGGCTCGCGGCGAAAAAAGAGGTGAAGCGACTGCAAGCCCAACAACAGTCGCTCAGGGAGATACTAGACCCGAATATAAGGGCTGACACAAGAGTGAGGAGGAACATCACACCGGAGCGCGAAATACTCAGACAGATGGAAACTATACCGTCTGTGAAACTCGTTGCGGAGATGGTGGGATGCTTGGAGACTATCCAGAAGGTTGCTGACCGCTCGAAGAACCTCTCGGGTCCATTTGTGCATGCATTGAATAAGTCAACTAACATGCTGAGGGCGGCGGTCAAAGCCTACGAAAACCTCTTCAACTGAAGAGGGTGAAGAGGCAGAAATGCTTACAGTGAGGATAGATAAGCGAATTGGAAAGACAAGTTGCCTTACTCAAGCAGGAAAGGCAGCAAGGACAGCCGGTACAAAAACCGGAAGAGGGATGACCAGACAGAAAACGAAAGTATCGTAGGCTGGCTGAGTCATCGACATCTGAGGATGAACTTGAACCCCCCCCCCCCAAGGAACTAGAGACAAAACGTCATATGTCAGCAAGGAGGAGAAACAACATGGAAACACAGACATGGAAGTCTCCATGCCAATATACAGGCCTGAGATCAAAGGCCGAAGAGCTGTGATCCCGGCCCTGCCCGAAGAAAAAGCCCTAGATGCGCGAAGGGTGTTGGAGGGAGTATCCATCAGCGATCTAATCACAGAGGACGCTGACAGCACCCGAGCAAACCTGGAGAACCTTATCCTTAGGTGCGAGGGCGTAAATGCCATCCTACTTAGGAAGGGGGAACCGGGTAAAAGGAAAGAACCAGCTGGGAAGAAGAACCCAGCTCGGGGAAACGTGGACGCTAATCCTAAAACTGGGCCGAAAATAATCGGAGTAGAGAAGGTTAGTGTCCACATAAAGACGAAACGGGACAAGACACCAGGATCAGGAAAGCAAGCACGCCCTGGGCTGAACCCTGTACCCGACAAAGGGCATTACTACCACTAGAGGAAACAGCGCAGGTAAAAGAAACCTGTCGCAAGGAGCTGCGGTAGGGGGGACCAACAACAGCAACAGGTCCCTTCCTCCAAGTCACAACCGACCAAAGGGGCAGTCGCCACCTGGGCGGAGGTGACGAAGAAGAACACGAGAGGAGGTGCTGCTACAAAGAAGCAAACCGTGGCATCCCAGGCCAAGACAGCGACACAACATCAGTCGCAAAGCCAGGGAAACAAAGAGGTGAGGCGTTCCCAACCAAATCCTAAGCCAAGCCAGGAAACTGGCAAGGCAAGAAGGAGGAACGCAAGGACACAACCCGTCACGTTAACGGCTCCTCCCGGCTCCTATAGGGAGTGCATGGGGATCCTGAAGTCCCGGATCTCCTTAGAAGAGCTGGGAATAGAGGAACTCCGGCCAAGGCGAACCCTCACGGGGGCTCTCATATTTGAGATCCCCGGCGGGGACGCAAAAGCTAAGGCCGAAATGTTGACCGCAAGAATGAAGGCGGTCCTAGAGGAGCAAGAAGGGGTTAAGGTGACTCGTCCCATTAAACTGGCAGAGCTAAGAGTCAAGGACTGGACGATTCTGTCACGGAAGAAGAAGTGGCAGATGCCGTGGCTAAAGCGGGAGGATGCGCCAAACAGGATATCAAAGTGGGGCGCATAAGGGAGGCTCCGAACGGCCTAGGAACAGCCTGGGTGCAGTGCCCCCTTACTGAGGCGAAGAAAGTGGCTGCGCTTTAGCGCGTAAGGATTGGGTGGATGGCGGCCAGAGTGGAACTTCTGGAAGCCAGACCACTTGTTTGCTTTAGGTGTCTCGAAAGGGGGCATGTGAGGCAACAATGCAGAAGCAAAGTTGATAGAAGCGCGGCTTGCTATCGATGCGGCTCCGAAGGACATCAAGCCCAGGACTGCATACTGGAGCCTAGCTGCCCGGTGTGCAAGGCGAAGGACCTCCCGGACCGGCACAAAGCTGGGGGCACAGCCTGCCCTTCGCCATCCAAGAGGGAGACTAAGAAAAGGAGACAAGAGGGAAATCCTCAGGCGACGGAGAAGACCCGAACTACTCGGGAAAAATCCAGCCAAAAGGAGAAAGAGACATCCAAGGATGTGGAAGAATCCAGGGACGTGAACATGAATGAGTCGTGTGAAACGATCCCTGTGGATACTGAGATGGACGCCCCGCAGGACGAACAGGGCCCCACAGGAGATAGATCCACAGAGGTAAGCGGTTTGGAGGAAGCCGGGAAGCCGACGCCTTCACGCCGATAAAGGTGATCCAGGTGAACGCAAACCACGCCCACCAAGCACATGATTTGCTATTGCAGACAATGGTGGAGCGTGGCTGCGGGCTGGCCATCGTGTCGGAACCGCGAAAAATAGCGGACCATCCTTGCTGGGCGTACAGCTTGGACGACACGGCGGCCATACATTGGCGGCGAACGGGGGAGAGGCACACCTCATGTTCGGTGAAAGGTGCGGGCGAGGGCTGGGTGTGCGTAAAATGGGGAGGCCTCACATTTGTGGGAGTGTACCTGCGCCCTGGACTGAGCCGTGCCCAACTGGAGGACCGCCTTGACGGGCTGGAGACGCTCATCAGGGGAATTCTCCCCGAGCCAGTCATAGTCGCCGGGGACTTCAATGCCAAATCGGCACTTTGGGGTTCCGGGCGACCTGACGTAAAGGGGCATGAGGTGGAGGAGTGGGCGGCGCGGCTCGACCTCCACCTACTAAACACGGGCAACGTCAGCACCTGTGTGAGACCGCAGGGGGAGTCTATCGTCGACTTGATATGGGCTTCCCCTGCGGCGGCGAGGAGAATAACCCACTGGCGGGTGGCAGTGGAGGCCGAGCTGCTCTCTGATCACCTGCCGATTGAGTTTGGGCTTTCTAGAGAAGAGAGAGGAAGCAGGGTAACCAGGGGTCGCCCACTTAGGTGGGTGACCCAGAAAATGGACCCAGATAAGCTCCTCGCGTCGCTAATGATAGAGACGTGGGTGCCGGAGGCGCGGGAGCTAGACGTGGAGGAACAGGCTCGACAGTTACGTGCAGCGATGGTGCGAGCATGCGACTCTGCCATGCCACCTATGCGCCAAGAAAAGTGGCGTATTGGTGGACGGACGAAATCGGGGAATTGAGGAGACTTGGCCGTCCAAGCAAGGAGGCGAACTGCAAAGGCAAGGAGGCGAACTGGGTCGACGCGGGAAGAAATAGATAGTCTACTCGAGGACAACAAGGCAAAACGCCATGAGTTAAGAGTAGCTATCAAGAGATCTAAAGAAAGATCGTGGGAAGGCCTGATCCAGACTCTGGACGCAGACCCGTGGGGGCGCCCCTATAAAATAGTCTTGGACAGACTTAGCAAGGGGGCGCCTCCCACTGTGGAGAACCTGGACCCGGACTTCCTGGGAGAGGTGGTCCGCACGCTCCTGGACCCGGACTTCCTGGGAGAGGTGGTCCGCACGCTCTTCCCTGGGGAGGACGGCGACAGGCTAAGGGATGAGGAACACCCAATCCCGCAGATAGAAGAGGTGGAACGGCGTGACGAGATGAGCGTCACGGAAGACGAGATTGCCAATGCGGCAAAGAGGCTGAAGGCAGGCAAAGCCCCGGGTCCCGACGGGATACCGGGACTTGCCTGGAAGGTGGCCCTAGGAGAAATCGCTGGCAGATTGGGGGGGCTAATGACAACGTGCCTCAGGACGGGATCCTTCCCTACACCCTGGAAGGAAGCGAAGCTCGTCCTTATCCCGAAACCGGGAAAACCTACGGATCTACCGGCGAGTTACCGTCCGATATGCTTACTGGACGAGGCGGGTAAGATCCTGAAAAGGATCATCGTCTCCCGTCTCGTCCGGGGCATCGAGGGCGGAGAAGGAGGAGGATTGTGCGACCGACAGTTTGGTTTTCGCGAACATAGGTCGACCATCGACGCGGTCAAATGTGTAAGGGCCCACGTCGAGTATGTCCTAGAGAGGGGAGGAGTTGTGTTGGCGGCGGCGCTTGATATCGCCAACGCTTTCAACTCCCTCCCTCACAGGGCAATAAAAGGAGCGCTGATGGACCTAAGGGTTCCCGCGTACCTACGGAACATCATAGGTGACTACCTGAACGACAGGATGATCACCTGTGAGGACCGTGAGGGAGAGACGAGGAATTGGGACGCGGCGTGCGGCGTCCCGCAGGGTTCGGTCCTAGGACCAATCCTGTGGGACGTCGCCTATGACGCCGTTCTGAGGACGGCCATGCCCGCCGGCAGCACCATGATCTGCTACACAGATGACACCCTGGTGCTTGCCGGCGGGAGGGATTGGAAGGAAGCCGCAAATAATGCCAATCTGGCGATAGAGTGCGCAGTCCGAGCGATTAATGCATTGGGCCTGAAAGTCTCTGCCGGCAAGACAGAGGCTGTCTATATGCACAGCGGCACTAAAGGGGTCCCAACGGAAACGTCCATATCGGTGGACGGAACAAGGATAAAGGTGGGGCCCTTAATCAAGTACTTGGGCCTCTACCTAGATGGTGGGTGGACCTTTAGAGACCACCTCATCAAACTCGGCCCAAGATTAGATGCAACAGCAAACGCGCTGTCACGGATCATGCCCAACCTCGAGGGGCTGTCCGGCAGGGTAAGGAAGCTGTATGCCAACGTAGTAAATTCCATTGCCCTGTACGGCGCCCCCGTGTGGGCTGAGGCATTGACCAGAGAGAAAAAGGCGGCAGCTGCACTGAGGCGGACGCAACGCCGCATGGCGATCCGCGCGATACGCGGCTATCGGACGGTGTCTAGAGCGGCGGCAACATTGTTGGCAGGAACACCGCCGCTGGAGCTGCTCGCCGAGTCATACGCGGTAGTCTATGAACAAGTGGCAAACCTGAGGAGAGCAGAGGCCCCAATAACGGGGAAAGTAAGGCGGCTTATCCATAGCCAACTAAAGAGGAATGTGAGGGAGGACTGGCGGGTGAGGCTGGAGGATCCTGACTGCGCAGGCCAGCGCACTGTACAAGCCGTCCTCCCTCATCTGGAGGAACGGTTGGAGCGCCCTTATGCAAGGGCCTAATTTCGAACGTCGCAGGTGCTCACCGGGCATGGGTGCTTCGGTGGGTACCTGCGGCGTATAGGAAAAGAGAGGACATCACACTGTCACCACTGTGATGCAGAGGAGGACACGGCGCAACATACGTTGGATAGCTGCCCCGCGTGGAGGGCGGAGCGCCGTGTCCTCCAAGATAAGATCGGGGCGGACCTCTCTCTCGACGCGGTGATCAAGGCCATTGTCAAGAGGGAGGAGGCCTGGGAGGCGTTCTCCTCCTGTGAACACGTAATGTCACAGAAGGAGGAAGCAGAACGGATCCGCAGGGGGGAGGCAGACCCTCCTGCGGGCTCGCAACAGGGCGGAGCAGGTGTGCCCAGACGTAGAGGAGCACGCCGTCTGCCGGCCCACTTAAGGGCCTGGAGGTAGAGCGGGGAAGGAGCGGCAGACCGTCATGGTTAGCCGTCTCCTTCCCCAGCGTTAATCTAGGTTGACTGGCCAGTACAAAAGGCCAGTAGGCACCACACCATAGGTGCAGAGAAGACTGGTCCCAGTTTTGGTGTACGGGTGCCGCTTGCGAATAGCACCGGGGTAGCCCCTGCCTGTCGTAAGAGGCGACTAAAAGGGGAGGAGAAGGAACGGTTTGGGACCGAATGGGGGTGGGCACGGGCTGGAGACCTGTGGCCCACCCGCCCCCACCAACAACCAGGGGGCGCGGCGAGGGGCTCGGTGGCACCCCCGCCACGAAGTAAGAAGAGGATGGCCCTTGTCAGGGCCGGGTCCTAGTATACGGGCCTAGAGGAGCGCGAAGTCACGTGCGGCGCGGTGCCGCTCGGAAGTTATGCGTTGCAGTTCCCGGATGGCCCCAGTATGCGCAGAGAAGTCCAAAAAAAAGGACGGCAAATCACTAAAGCCGCGAAGCGAAACAATTACGAGGGCTGTTAGAAAAGTATCCGACCTTTGGCCGGGAAAAAAAAACTGGCATACCTGGAGCGTTGGAAACCTAATCACCCTCAAAGTAGTCTCCTTGGGACTCCACACAATTGTCCCAGCGGTGCCGCCATTGTTGGAAGCATTCTGAGAAAGCCTGTTTCGGAATGGAGTTTAGCTCTGCTGTCGTTGCAACCATAATGTCTTCTCTTGTCTGAAATCGCTTTCCTTTCAATGGCCTCTTGAGTTTGGGGAACAGCCAGAAGTCGCAGGGGGCCATATCAGGAGAGTAAGGAGCCTGTTGAACCACAGGAGTCTGGTTTTTCACCAAAAAAGTTGTAATCAAGTGCGAGGAATGTGCTGGAGCATTGTCGTGGTGAAGGCGCCAATTTCCTGTTGACCATAACTCCGGTCTCTTGCGCCGCACACCTCTTCCGCAATTTCTCGGATAGTCACACGACGGTCCCGCATCACCACAGCGTTCACTTCGGCAATAACTTGGTCATTTCGGCATGTTGATGGCCGACCGGAGCGTGGCTCGCTCTCCACCGATGTGCGGCCGCCTTTAAACCGATTGTACCACTCCTTAATCTGTGTGATGCCCATAGCATTGTCACCGAAAGCCGTCTGAATCTTCCGAATAGTTTCAACTTGGCTGTCGCCCAGTTTCTGGCAAAATTTGATGCAGTAGCGCTGCTCCAGTTGTTCCGTCATTTTACTTGCAATTAAAAACCGCCGCGTGTACTACACACTGCCTCATTCAAATGCTGCTTGCCAGCAACTGGCGCCATCGACAGATAGGAAAAAATTCACGCATGCGCACGAAGGTTCAATCAAGGCTCACGCAAGCGCGCTTGATTCAAATCCATCCGGTTTTCGCAAAAAAAAATAAAGTCGGATACTTTTCTAACAGACCTCGTATACACTTGGCTACCGACACGAATATGTTGGGCATAGTACAGGCAGAAGAAACTAGACCCGGAGTGTTTATAGGAAACTGTGCAGCCAAGAGAATTTACGTGCGTAGCAAGCATTTTGAATACAACAGAAACCACGGTTGAGATGCCAATGCCGCAAGTAAAACTTGTGGAAATTGAGCTGGGAGAGACAGAAGAAATAAATGCAGCACACGTTAGAAAGAGTGCCGGAAACATATCACGCCGTGACAAAGTAATTAAACGATTGCGCACCGAACATTTAAATGCCGAGGAAAGGAAAACCATTATCGAGATCTGCAAAAACTTCAACAATGTATTTCACGCAGAGGGAGAACCCCTGACATGTATGAGCGCTGTGAAACATAATATT